CCTTTGCTTTTCTGCCTGCGAGTTTGGATTCTTTAGCTGCCAACCTTACAAAAGATGATAAATTATATTTTCTCTCTCAAATAATTCCTAATAGAGATCATTCGTTGTTATTAGAAAAAGCAAGCTTACCTTACGAATATTTAGATACCTGGGATAAATTTGAAGATGATTGTTTACCTCCTATCGATGCTTTTAACTCAACTTTAACAGGTAAAAATATTTCAGAAGAGATTTACTTGAGATTAAAACAGATATGGGTAGATTTTGAATGTAAAAACCTTGGAGATTTTCATGATATATACTTACAACTTGACGTTGCCCTTTTAACAGCAATTTTCGAAAATTTTCGAAGTATGAGTTTGAGAGAATTCGGGTTAGATCCTACACATTTTTGGTCGACTCCTGGTTTGACTTGGGCAGCAGCAATCAAATTTACAGAAGCAGAAATTGATCACATAAATGATATAGATATGGTATTAATGATAGAGAAAGGTATTAGAGGAGGAATTTCTTCTGCAATGAAAAGACACGCTGTTGCAAATAATCCACTCTGTCCTGAGTATAATGAAGAAGAGCCTAATTCATTCATCACATATCTTGATGTCAACAACTTGTATGGATATTCGCTGGTTCAAAATCTACCATATGGATCCTTAAAAGGGTTGAAAAAAGTGAATACCAGAGTGTTCTGAATGAAATTACAAGTGATAAAACAAAACATGGTTATATTATCGAAGTCGATCTCGATTACCCAAAAGAACTACATGATTGGCATGATGATTATCCCCTTGCACCAGAAACAATATCAATTTGTGAAAATCAATTGAGTGACTATCAAACAAAATTGGTAAAGAAGCTAGAAAGCTGTGGGAATAAAAGACTTATGTCTCCTAAACTTATTCCGAATCTTTTTAACAAGATTAAATATGTTACACATTATAGGAATCTGCGATATTACATGTCAAAAGGATTATTATTGAAGAAAATCCACAGAATATTACAATTTGAAGAGAAGCCATGGTTAAAACCATACATTATGCTATGCACAGAAAAGAGACAACAAGCAAACAATGCTTTTGAAAAAGACTTTTGGAAATTAATGATAAATTCTCTTTATGGTAAAAGCATCGAAAATAAACGGAAACATTGTGAAGTCAAATTTTTAGCCGATAGAAAAGCTGTATTCAAAGCTACAAGAGAACCTCTTTTTGATCAATTCTGCATTTTGGATGAGAATCGAGCGATTGCTAAACTACGGAAATCAAAAGTTATATTGGACAAACCAATAGCCGTCGGATTCTCTGTGTTAGAATTTGCTAAATTGTATATGTACCAATTACATTACGATACTTTCAAAGCATATTACGGACGCAATTTAAGTTTAGTTTACACTGATACTGATAGTTTTATTTATCATATAAAAACGGAGAATCTATACAATGATTTAAAATATTTCGCTAATATTATGGATTTTTGTGATTACCCTAAAAATCATTCGCTCCATAGTGAAGAGAATAAAAAAAAGTTAGGCTACCTGAAAGATGAAACTAATGGAGATCCAATCATAGAAATAATAGCCCTCAAATCTAAAATGTATTTGATAAGATCTGTAAACAGTGAACGCAAAACAGCAAAAGGAGTACAAAAGCATGTAGTAAAATCACAAATACTCCAAGATGACTATCTGAATTGTTTGTATGATGAAAAGTTATATAAACACACGAATCATCGGTTACAAAGTAAAAACCATAAAATTAAAGCTATCTCAACTGAAAAAATATCATTAAGTCCATTGGATGATAAGCGTTGGGCTATCGACAACGTTAACACTCACGCATTTGGACATTATCAAACAACTCATGAAAATTAGTATCATATTTCATGTAAAACAATTTTTATTGAAATAATAATAATAATAATAAATTAATATATTAATAAAGTTAATGATAATATATAAATACCAGTTTAAATACTTCATCGCATATATTGAGATAAAAAAAGTGAACATTGTCAGGTTTTCATCCAAATCTTTTAGGAATGAGCATTTGAATTAATTTCAAATTCTTTTCCAATGTTTCGGGAACAATCTCGATATTTTCAACCAATGGGTAAGGATTTTCTTGTATAGGTATATCAAAGATTGAACATAAATAGCAAAGTACATCAAACGCTTTTTCAGGATCTTGCTTTCCAATTTTTTCCATGTAAACCCAGACAGATTTCTTGAGAGTTGTTTTTACTGCTTCACGCAACATATCTTCCTTATCAATCAAAGAAATCACTTCCATATAATGTAGAAGGGCAGGTAAAATGCGTTTCAGGGCACACAAGACAGTAAATGGAATTTTTATCTTCAATGTGTTTCCTGACTTCGTACGTTGTAGTTCGAATTTTCCATTGTACATAGTTCCTTTAAGTCTGATATTAGTACTCTTGAAGCGAGGTAAATCCGTTTGCAAATCTAGGTTTTGTGCGAGATGTCGGATTTCATCGATTCCAAGTAAAATTCCTTTAGTAGCACCGAAACTGCTAGAACTGTTTCGCAGATTAGCAAAAAGTATCATCTTGTCCTTGTCTTGTTTTCCATTTGTTACCGATAGATAAAATCCATAAAATGGTGAAATTTTCAATGTAAAAATTTCATTCCAATCACATTTAGTTTTTTTGACAGCCTTCTCCTCATCGTCAGAGTCAGATTCATAAGCATGTTTAGTATTGTCACTCATTTTAGACTCTTTCGTTGTTTATTCGATGCACTGTTGTAGGTGAATATCGATGAACTGTTATGGTTGAAACTTTCAGATATAATAAGAAATCTTTTGATGTTCGGCTGAATTTATATCCAATAGAGGCGGAGATAATGTGAGGGAGATGAATGAAGGCTCCCAAACATGCTTAGTAAGCAGATTATATTGAATAATTTATGCTAATGATATTGTATTATCAAAGTCTAGTGCTGACATTAACAAGTGATAAAAACACAATAATATTAAGGCGAAAAGAAAAAAACAAAGAACTACCATGGAAATTGTGAACATATCTTTTCTTTTTACAACTAAAAATCCTCTTGATCCAACTATTTATGACTTTTATAACCCAAAACGTTTCAGTGGTGCAATCTTGAGTCGAGGTAAAACTAGGATTTTGGTTTTCAAAGGTAGAAAAATTGTAGTTACAGGAGTGACTGATCCAATTCAAGCGAAAAAAGGTTGTTATAGACTTAGTTGGGGTCGATGAAATAAAGAAATGCGTTATCACGAATATAACAGCTAAAGGGAAAATCGACTTTGAGTTGGATTTTAATACTATGTTGAGATCTAATAACTTTTCTTGGGAGCCTGAACTTTTTCCTGGTATCTATTGGAGGAAAAAAACTAATGAAAAATCGTTAGTTATAATATTTCGTTCAAGAAAAATTATTATGACAGGTTTGAAAAATATTGAAGACACAAACATTTTATATAAAGAGTTATTGGAAGATGTTTTACCTTTTCGGAGATGAAATTTTTTAAGAGAAATGAGAAAAGTGAGTACGTCTTCCTGTGTGAAGAGAAAGACAAATTCAAAGAAATTGATGAAATATTTGCCAATGTACTAAAAAATGAAAAGAAATCTAAGAAAATAATAATACATCTTGAGAATTTTACAGCATTTCAAATCCAATATATCCATGAATACAGAAAAGATCCATCTTTCTCTAAAGTTAAACTAATTCTTTCTAATATTAATGCTTAGGGTGCAACGGTCAAGGTTTTCAAAGGTTATTACAATTCAT